TTTTTAATCTTCATTAGTAAGTGCTTCAAGTTTTCTTTGCTTTCAGAAAGCAAGGTTGTGCCATCTGCCTATTGCAGTTTGTTAGTGAGTCTTCCTCTGATCTTGATGCTGTGTTTGTCTTTGTACAGTCCAGCTCCTCATATTTTTTGCTCAGAATACACATTGAATAAGTATGGTGATAGAATACAGCCCTGACACACACCTATCCTGATTTTAAACCATACAGTAGCCCCTTGTTCTGTTTGAACTTCTATCTCTCAATCTATGTACAGGTTCTGTGCGTGAACGCAATTAATGTTCTGGAATTCCCATTCTTTGCAATGCTATTCATAATTTGTTATGATTCACAAAGTCAAATGTCTTTGCAAGTCAATAGTCAAAAGTCTCTGCTTTAAGCCAACATTCATCTGACATTAACAGTTGTTCCATGTCCTCTTCTGAATCTAGCTTGAATTTCTGGCAGTTCCCTGTATTAATGATACTGCTCAATGATTTTCATGATCTGTTAGATCACCTTTCTTTATAATGGGCATATATATGGATTTCTTCCAGTTAGTTGGCCAGATAGTTGTGTTCCAAATTTCTTGGCTTAGACAAGTGAGCCCTTCCAGTTTTGCTTTTGTTTGTTGAAACATTTTGGTGGGTATTCTGTCAGTTCCTAGAGCCTTTGTTTTTCACCACTTCCTTCAGTGCAGCTTGGACTTTTTCCTTCAATACTATCAGTTTTGGATCATATGCTACCTCCTGGAATGGTTGAACATTGATTAGTTCATTTGGGTATATTGACTCTGTTTATTCCTTCCATCTTTTTAAAAAAAAAAAAATTATTGTGCTTTGGGTGCAAATTTACAGAGCACAATTTGTTTTACATTCAACAGTTTGTGTACATTTGGTTTCATGTCACAATTATCATCCCCAACCCTAACCCACTCTTCTCCCCTTCCTTCCCTATGACCCCTCCTCCCTGTGCCCTTCTTAACTGTGCACTCCTGTCCATCCAGCTTTCCCTCCATGTGAATGCTGCCCCTCTGGTGCTCCATAGCTGATTGCTCCAAGGGGTGTATCCCCATAGAGTA